ATAAACGATGGGATGAGCTTCTTCTAGTTTTGCTCCGTGCACTTGATAAGCTCCCTGTGAATCTCGAAGCACTAAAGATGTGCAATATTGGCAAATCTGTTAATCATTTACGCTCACACAAGAACATGGACATCCAGAAGAAAGCTCGGAGCTTAGTGGATACATGGAAGAAACGCGTTGAAATTGAAATGAATATGATAGATGCTAATAATAAGTCAACCCAAGGCGTCTCATGGCCTTCCAAATCCCGGATTCAGGAGACTTCTCACAGTGCAAATAAGAGTAATCCAGGGTTTTCCAATGATTTCACTCCAAAGAGCTCAGTGACAACACAACTATCCTCTAGAACTGTCTCAGTAAAGACTTTACAAGTGGAAACCACTACTGCAAAATCGGCATCCTCTTCTCCTGTACCGGTTAAAGATGGTCAAGCTAGGGTTTCTTCATTATGTGGTGGTGCTTCACATGTTGATGTTCCTCCTGTAGTATTGATGAGGGAGGATAAGAGCAGCAGTTCTAGCCAGTCTCATAATCACAGTCCATCTTTTTCAGGAAAAGAGGATGCAAGGAGTTCCACTGCAGGGTCGATGAGTAGCAATAAGGTCTCAAATAGCAGTTCCCGCCACCGCAAGACAATCAATGGGTTTCCAGGAACGTCTCTGTCGGAAGGCCTAAAAGAAAGAAGCAGACATTCCAACCCTGAAAGAGTATCACAGTCTGTGGTTGTTGGTGATAAATCTACTGACTTGTCTGTTGTTGAAAGGGGAGATCAGAAGGTGATTGTTAAGATACCTAATAATAGAATCCAAAGTCCTGCACATAGTGTGAGTGGAAAGTCTTGCGAGGAGGAACCTAATATTGTGAATAGCCAAGCTTCTTCCCCTGTGGTTTCGGAGAAACATGTCCAACCTGACCAAAATGTGAAGGCAAACAGTGATGACCTGTATCGATCTAATAATAATAATAATAATAATATAATATCTGATGTCAATGCAGAGTCTTGGCAGAGTAATGATCTCAAAGATATCTTAACCGGATCTGATGAAGGTGATGGATCACCTACTCAACTTGCAGAAGATGATGATCGGGAGGATGACAGGAAAGGTGGTGGCGTCTCAAAGACGGTTCCTTCATTTTCTGGAAAAAATCAAAATGTTTCTTTCGACTCCATGAATGTTTTAATTGAGAGCTGTATTAAGTACTCTGAATCAAATGCATCCATGTCAGTGGGTGATGCTAGTGGGATGAACCTGCTTGCCAGCGTGGCTACTGAACAAATGTCTAAATCTGATTTGTATTCGCCATCTGTTTCCTCGCAAAGAAATTCCCCCGTGGTTGAGGAAACTTGTATGGATACTGACGATTTCAGATCACAACCCCGACCCTGTGAAAGGATCACAAGCGACTGCAAACAGCGACATGGTAATAAGCAGCAGCATGTTGATGCAGGAAAATATCGTGGAGAATGTAAACTGGAGATGAATGAGAATGATGGTGAATCAGATAAAAGGTCTTTTGAAGGAGGCAACAAGGGGGTTTACTCTGGTGCTAAAATGGGCACTGACACTTTGTTAGAAGGTAACAATGTAAGCTTAGGTGACCAAAAGGGATCACGTGAAGAGGGAAAATCAAATGCAGCAGCCACATCGGATTCTGAAGTGAATGAGAGACTACCTGTAAAGGAAGAGCACCCTACATCCTCTGTAGATGTAACTGCAGATAAAGGGGGTGATGAAGATGAAATCCACTCATATCTTAAGTTGTGTGAGAAAATGAAGTCAAAGCATACAACACTGGATCCATTACTGGAAGATAAAAATTCAATTAATGTGGATTCCACGGTTAATAGTGATAATAACAATAATAATAACCTGACAACAGAATGCAGCAATGATGGCCTTGCTGAAGCTAAGCATGATTCTGGCGGATCACCACCATCTGTGAAAGAAAGAGCTGGATATTCTGTTACAGAGACTGCTTCCAAAATGAAATTCGATTTGAATGAAGGTTTCGTTTCAGATGATGAGAAATGCGGTGAGGCAATCAACCCTCCCACACACATGGTCAACCCATTACCATTTCCTATAACTTCTGTCGCCATTACTGCCAAAGGCCTGTTTGTGCCTCCAGAGGAGTTATTGAGATTCAAGAGGCAAAGTGGTGAGTTCAGATGGAAAGGTTCTGCTGCCACAAGTGCGTTTCGTCCGGCAGAGCCAAGAAAAGTGTTTACGCCAACAGTAAGCGCATCCCAGTCTGCTGAAGCTGCTCCCTCAAGTGCGAATAAAACTCGTCCATGTTTAGAAATTGATTTGAATGCTCCAGGTGAAAGTTCTTTAGAAGATGATGAAGTTGGATATTCAGCTCCTCAAGAGATTATTAGCCATCTGCCTATTAACCAAAAGAAAGAAAAACCGAGTTCTCCATCTATTCCTTCTGGAGGAGGGGGTCTCAATCTTGATCTGAACAGAGCTGATGATGAGTCTAATGATGTGGGCCAGTGTTCATTAAGAAGCAGCATTTTTAATAGTAACGTATTGGAGGGACTTGTTGAACCATTACAATCGCAATGTGCGCCGTCTCGTGAGGTCAGAATGGACTTTGATTTGAATAATGGCCCCGCTGCTGATGATATCACTGCGGAACAACAGCCTTTTTTGTTCCGACAGAATAGCCGTGGGAACATCAGAATGAACAATCCAGAAATAGGGAGCTATGCTTCTTGGTTCACTCCTGTTTGTGGATATTCAGCTGTCAGTGGGCCACCACCACAACCATCACAGGCCAGTAGTCCCTTTCCTCTCGATATTTATCGAGGCTCAGTTCTGTCATCATCACCTGCTGCTGCTGCTGCTTACCAGATTCCCATGTTTCCCTTCGGGGCGACAAGTTTTCCACTCCCATCCACAAGTTTCCCAGTAGGTTCTGCTCCTTGTATCAATTCCTCGCCTGGTGGGAGGCTGTTTACTGCTGCAGTCAATTCACAGTTGCTGGGTCCCGTCGTCAGTGCTTCCTCAGCTCATCAATTTCCCAGGCCGTACATGGTCACCCTCCCGGACAATGGTACTAGTGGTAATAATGGGAAATGGGCTAAACAGAGCTTGGACCTGAATGCTGGGCCTGGATATATTGATATCATCCATGGTGTAAGGGATGAGTCTTCAATCACTTCAAGACAACTGTCTATTGCTCATGATCAACAGTTACTACAGTCAGCGGGTGAGCATCATGCGTTGTACCAGCACCCTGTAGCTGCAGGTAACATAATGAAGAGGAAGGAGCCTGATGGGGGCTGGGGTGATAATGATAGCTTCAGGCACAACAAGCAGTCGTCATGGCACTAAGAGTGTGGTGTGTAAAATGATGCCATCCTGCCCAGCTCTGAGTTCTGGTAAGTTTTAATTTCTTTCTGGTCTCATTTGCATTACTCAACAATAGAACTCGCTGTTGCAAGAACTTTTTCAACCTTAAAAAAGTCTAATTTTTGAATAAAACAAGGCAACTGTATTGTAATTTGAAACTCCTACTATCTGGATTATCTTAAATAACTAATGAATGAAGTATTGTTCCCTTCACTCAATAATCAATTGTAATTTGTTTCTATCATTTGGAAATAATGAAGGGCCACAAGTGGTGTGGTGTCTTTGGATGCCATTCACTCACTTGAAAAGTGTTAGAATATTAATAAGGGAAAGTTCCCGAAATAGGACTAAAACAGTTTGAAAATTCCAAAATAGGACTGCCATGTTTTTTATTCCCAAAATAGGAGTAATTACTGCCAAGTTTGGAAAATACTGCCATGTTTGAAGTCTGGTACTGCCAAAACATGGCAGTAATTAGTCCTATTTTGGGAATAAAAACATGTCAGTCCTATTTTGGAATTTTGAAACCTTTTTAGTCCTATTTCGGGTAATATCCCTTTTAATAAATGTGTGTAACCAATGCCTGACTTCCCAGAAAAACTGGTGGTTTTACCCTTTTGAAAGGAGGTGATTTCGCACCTTTGGCCTCTAGGGACATAGCGGGAGAGAAATTTCATTTGTCACGCCAGATCTGCTCTCCATTCCCAAAGCTGTTACAAGCATGTTAAGCAGGATAATAGTCACCTCACAAATGATGGACCCCACATTGAGGTGATTGCATCCTAAATTCCTACTTGGCACCACCCCTGCAGCCATCAAACTCTGAAAAATGCAAATGTGCTGGTGTTTGGAATAGTAGCGAGGGAAAAATTTTCAATTTGCACCTTTTATCCAGTGTATCAAGTAGAAATGGGTAAAGAGTTTTGAGATCTTGGGAAAGCATAAAAATTAGAATGGTTAAATATAAACAAACAATTGTGCCGAGTGATTTTTAAATTAATAACTAATATGCTTGATAACTACTATGCTCTTGTTCTTAGCCTCTCTTTCTTCATAATTGATTATATAAAATAATTAACTAACTTATTTAATTGTAGAGTCGGGGGATAGGATGCTGGCTCTCAGTGGAAGCAAGATGGATAATCTTTGTGTTACTACCCTGAGGTGGACAACCTTCTTCGATTGACAATGCTTGTGGGTGGAGTGATTATAGAGCGTGGGGAAGTTGTGCATCCTTTCTTGGGATTCTGAGAAATGCTTTCTCCTATGTACATATATTTAACTGTTCGAAACTATTTTTAAAGAAAAAATGAATCAGGTAGGGCTTGTGCCCCAACTTCAGTTCAACATATGAAATGCCTCGCCAAAAAATGACGTTTGACATGCAGTTAAGATATATGCACTTTGGTTTGGATCACCTTATATGTTCCTTTGCACGCTTTTTTGTCCATTATTTTCTTCATTTTCTTTGTTAGTATCCTTAAAGTCATCGGAACAGGGCCACAGGGGTGGTCGGCTTGTAAATTATGTTGTCAGGCTGCAAGCCTGCACTATCACTTGTTAAAGCCAAGAAACTTACAAACCCACTAGTTTTATCGAGCCGCCATTCATTCAAAAAGATACATGGGGTACTTTGCAGCACTGAATGCAAAATGTGGCACCAAAACAGAGTAGCATTCTTCCATGGACACAAATCGCTGTAAAGATTTCAAGCTGTAAAATATGTATCTAGCAGATAAGATTATAAAAACTATATAAAAACATGTATTTTGAAATACACGTGCTCCGTTGTAAGGAGCATAAGTAGTGATGGTTTGAAACCCATTATCTGCTGAACCCATCTACTTCTCGCCCAACGGGTTTATCCAAAAGTCCAAAACCAAGGCCCTGGGTAGAGATCGAGACTGAGCCAGCAAGTGAAGGGGGGACATGCCTTGTGTCTTACTTTTCTGACCGGGCTGAATCGGGATTAACATTGAATTAAAACCAGTTCAGAATTGAAAAAAATGGAAGAAAAGAGCAAGGGGCTGTTCACTGAAATTGGTGACCAAAAAATAAAAATTGGCACATGGGAGGTCATGTAAGAACGTTTTTACTTGAACTAACATTTTCTGTTCTAAACTAGTCTAGTAAATACCCGATCTCTGTGTATTTTATAACTATCCAAATCTAGTCTGATCTGAGATTGAAAATAGTTCAAGTAAAAACATTCTAAGACTGTATCAGGGGCAGACCGTAATAGAGACCAGGAGGGGCACCAAAACACAGAGTAGCATTCTTCCATGGACACAAGTCGTTGTAAAGATTTCAAACTGTAAATTATGTACGGAACATTATAAAAAACTATGTATTTTGAAATACACATGCTCCATTGTAAGGAACATAAGTAGTGATGATTTTTATAATCTTATCTACTCCACTGACCATACATATTTTACAGCTTGAAATCTTTACTGTGTTTTGGTGCCACATTTTGCTTTCAGTGCTGCAAAGTAAACATCCTAAACCATCCAACAATGTTTTTTAGTGTATATATATATACGGGAAAAAAAATCCGCCCCCTCAAAAAACAATTTTCACCTCCGAAAAAATATTTTTGTTTAATTAACTGTCGTCCCAATACCAATTTCCTGGGTGCCACCTACTGTAACTCTCTAAGTTATCCCAGTCTTGGGTCTTGCTATTTTTTTAAGACCAGCTGGTCCGATACTGAAACCTGTCCAACTAGGACTCTGTCTATCTACTTGGAATCGCATGTGTGGTATACCAGTCTAGTTCCATATTTAACCTTTTATATTTTTCATGCATACTTTTTATACTCATTCTGTCTCAGTTTACTTGTCTTATTTCCTTTTTGGATTGTCTAAAATAATGTCATGTCTTTTTTAGAAAGAATTTTTTGACCCACGACGTTTCACTTTATTATACTCAAGTCTTTATTATACTCAAATCTAATAACGATTTTTACTTTTTTATTCACTTTATTATTAATAGTGTGGTCACTATTAATAATTATGACAAACCACAACAAAACACATAAAATAAGATAGAGGTTGTAACACACGATTATTATAATATAATTACATAAGCCATGCTGGGGCGCTGGGCAAATAGATGAGTACAATAATGATGATAATGATACCATTATACAAGGACTCTCCCAAATAATATCCCACTGAAAATGAGGGCGCCAAACCATTTGTTAGACACAAATCTGCACATGCGAAGGCAAAAAACATTAGTAGCCACTGTTCAAAACCATTCTGAGGAACTCAATCAACTAGATGGAGTTGAAATGCTTAAAATTAGAGCTAATAGTTTGCAACAGAGTCGAGACAAATTGAGGATATCTTGGGCGCAACCTATATCACTTACTGGGTGTAAGCCCAGCATAACTGATGCATTCCTAGGGCATCAGTATTACCGCAAAAGAAGGAAAGCTAAAAATCAGCAAATCACACAGAAAAATCAGATTGATCTGGAAGGAAAAAAATCAGATTGAGCGGGAATTTCCGGTTCTTCCTAAAATATGAAAATTCCTTTCCATGGTCGAAAACACCGGAGTTTCAAATTCTCTCTCCTTAGTCACACTGGGTATAGTTTCAAAAATACTACTCCCTCCGTTCCGATAAGATTGTCCCAGACACTATTCAAATTGGTCAACACAAATCACTTTTAATCTCTTACTTTATATATAAAACTTTTATCAAATTTGATTCTGGTTTTTGCGACTATAAAATTTTAATGTAGTTTCTGAATATGTAATTTTTTTTCTAAAAATAATTTGAGTGCGGACAGGGATCTGTTTGCTTTATCGTCAATCAAGCATCGTAAACCGAATTGTCCCAAACATAGTGGGATGGAGGTAGTATTTCTTTATGGAATAGTTCGTACTACCACTGTATAAAAAAGATCTTTGCACTTTCATTTTCACCCGTAACTAAATAATAATACACTAACAACTATTTTTTTGATGTTATCATTCATTCCATCACATCACTCCGTTATCTTCCCATCATATACTCTCAATAATTTATATCTCCTTTTACTATACATAATCTCGCCTACTTTCAAAGTGAGAAGATTTTTTTTACGGAGTATAATAAAGCCACGTATACCACATTACATATCCACGTGTCCACCCCAAACTCCAAAAGACCCAAATCACAATAAAGCTCTTCCAATATACATGTTTGAATAAACTCATTTTTTGTTAGAGATCACTATTGATTTAGTTATATCTATAATGTTTAAGTTATTTTAGGAGATGTGTTATTTTTCTTAATACGTGGCATGTTGAACTGCTTAAATATACTAATAATAATTATTGTTCAATATCGAATATGACATCAATAGATCATTATTTGTATTAGTAACATTTTAATTATGAATTAAATGTCGCTAGTAACACCGATTTAGTATATTTCGTTAGTCTAATAATTTATTGCATTGAGAGTCATGTAAGGTAATTTATCGATATCGTACCGTTACCGAACCGAAACTTTGATATACCGAAATGCGGTATACCACAATTTCGATAAGGTAACGGTATATAAATTTTATATACCAAAAGTTTTGGTACGAAAAAGGTATGGGAGAAACTCCGCCATGAGATCAATTTTTTTTTGTTTCATGCCTGTCCCAAGTCAGGATAAAGGAGGAGTGTGTTGTGGTAGGCGCGTGACGGCCAACAGTATCACCTAGTCACATCACATGACATGAATCGAAATATGAATATCGCTACAGCTAGGTCGTCGCCCGTAAGCGACGCGTCATCCCTCCGCCTGGGGTGGTGTCAAATATCCAAGGGCGCGCTACACTTCATAGGCCTGGGTGTGGTGATAAGAATGCTAAGGTTGCTAGGTCGTCGCCCGAAAGCGGCGCATCATCCCATTGCCCGAGGATGATGTCAAATATGCAAGGGCATGGTGGGGTCCGAGGCGGAGCTAAGAACAGAAGGTGTAGTGCTAGATTGCACTTTAGGACGTGGAATGTTGGGTCTCTTACAGGCAGATCTTCCGAGGTAGTCGAAGTTATGAGGAGGAGGAATATCGGCATTGTGTGTGTGCAAGAAACTAAACGGGTTGGAGAGAAAGCACGTGAGATTAATACCGGAGTTTTAAGTTGTGGTATTCGGAGAGAGATAAGACCAGGAATGGGGTAGGCATTATTGTGACGCGTGACTATGTTGAGGATGTGGTAGAAGTCTTCAGGAAGAACGATCGCATCATAAGCATTAAATTGGTGATAAGGGGTGAGATTGTATCCGTGGTAAGTGTCTATGCACCACAAGTGGGATTGGATGCATCTACAACTCAACAGTTCTGGGAAGATCTTGAAGATGTGGTGCGACGAGTGCCAAGGGGAGAGAAGTTGGTCATAGGAGGCGACCTCAACGGGAATGTGGGCTCGAGTCGTGATGGCTTTGAGAGTATTCATGGCGGACATGGTTTTGACACTAGAAATGAAGCGGGAAAGAACAATTTGGATTTTGCCTCGACGTATGAGTTGGCTATAATGAACACTTGGTTTAGGAAAAGAGACTCTCACCTTGTAACCTATAGAAGTGGAGCTAATAGTACACAAATTGACTACTTCTTAGTACGGACTACTTGGAGAACGAGCTACACCGATTGTAAGGTTATCCCAGGTGAGAGTGTTGTCACTCAGCATAGGATGCTTGTGTTTGACTTTCGAGGTAAGAACCATAGAAGACAAGTTAAACAACAAGTGGAGCCAAAGATAAAGTGGTGGAGGCTTGAGGGGGATCTTCAACAAAGCTTTACACACAAAATGTTCGGTGAAGATGTATGGCGTATTGATAATGGAACACATGTGGAGGATGTGTGGTTATCAATGGACAATTCAATGTGGGGAACCACATTCAATAGGGATTCAATCACTGGCGGGGCTAGGGGAAGGAGGGGGAGGGGAAACAATCTATTCTATTTTCTTAGTAAAAGGCATAGTCCACCATCCTGGGAAAGTATTCAAGTTCATATTTACTTAGTTGTCTAAGGTTTGTTAGTAAAAAGATATTTTCTTAGTAAAAAGATAATTCTAATCATACCCTTATTCGAAATGAACATGGATACAAAGATTACTGAGGGGTTTCTTATTTGTTATAGTCCTGGGTAAACTTACGAAGTCAATTCAAGAAGATATACTGTGGTGCATGATGTTTGTTGATGATATTGTATTGATTGATGAGACACAATCGGGTGTTAAAACACAGTTGGAAGTATGGCACCGGACATTGGAGGCCAAGGATTTCAGACTGAACCGAAGCAAGACTGAATATATGAAGTGCAAGTTTGGAGGGAGAGGGAGTGATAATTATTAAGCATCAGCAGCAGAAAGTACTTCAAATATACTTACTTTCTGTTGCAATCCACACGAGAGGATAGGTCAACTGTTTTAATCTGCCATGCTAATTGGGAAGTTGCAGCTAACAAAAAGGCATAATATGGCCATCCTGATCCAGGTACCCATCCAACCAATGAGCAATCAAGCAAACAACCGGAGCATCTCTTAATACAGAAGTTCCACAACTTAATAAAAAGTGAGCTAATAAAAGGCAGGGTTATTAGCTAATTTCTCCTCAACTATCATCAAATTCACAAATCTTATTTCTATTTCATTTTCTTTCACTCCTTTCTAACTTTAGAGTTTTTTCAAATATAATGCTAAATAAAAATTATTTACGAAATTACGGTCCCAAAAAATTTATTTACCAAAATACTGTTCAAATAAACCTAGGTTAACTAAAATCGCCAATTCAATTGGTGACTTTCAAAAAAATCGGAAACCCACGCACGAACTAACGTTTAGAATAGGAAACTCGTGGGCCTATGTAAGACAAAAAATCTCTTTTTTCTTTGAAGTACTATAACTTTTATGTTTTTGTTCCAATTTTTACAAATAATATATCAAATTTTATTATCTTTCATATGACACCAATATTGCATGTATAAAGTTCTAAAAAATCCGAATATAGTTTGGGGGTGAAAAAGCTACTTGCAACTATGCACCATTAATAAACCTAATCCTCAACCAATTTACAATCTAGCATGGTCAACATATTCATCCAACATAGTTTTTTAATTAAATCCTTACATTTTTTTATTCTACATCAACTTTACCCAAAAACAATTTACAAAAATCTGAAATCTTATTGTTAATGTTTTTTAAACTTCATTTTTTTGTGAGGGGGATCTGAGTGTTAAAATTAAGATCTCATGATATTTTATACATCTTTTGGTTATTTTTTTAAAGATAAGGTTTTAAGCAAATAAACATTAAACTCCAAAATTTTTTGCATTGAAATGTTTAACTTTTTAAATATCTTTTTGGCATTGAAGTGTTTTAATTTTTAAATCTAACTCAAAAATTTGGCGTTCATTTTTTTTTGCTTGAGGCCTTTTCTTGAAAAAAATAACTGAAAGATGTATCAAATAATCATGAGATCTTAATTCTAACACTCGAATCTACTCAAGAAAATTTTGAGTTTAAAAAAAACTTCAACAATCAGATCTTCAAATTTTTGTAATTTTTTCGGCTAAAATTTGATGTAAAATAAAAAAAAAGGATTTAATTAGAAAAATCATGTTGCATGAATAAATTAACAGTGCAAGATTGTAGGAAAAAACTGGATTAACGTGATGAATACTGAGTTTTCATTTAAATATGTTGAGAATTAGGTTCATTGACGGTGTAGGGTTGCAAAGGAGCTTTTTAACCACTTATAGTCTTCAAAAAAATTTAAATTTTATATATGAGATATTGGTGTCAAATGAAAGATCACAAAAAATTATGAAATTTGATATATTTTTTCTAAAGATTTGAGCAAAATTATAAAAGTTATAACATTTTCAAGAAAAAAGAGATCCTTTAAAAAAATAAATTGCATAGGCCCCATTAGCTACTCTTCCATATTATTCTGCCAACTTGCTTCGTACGCACACCGTATTTTTTTAGGAGAGTTGCCACTCCATTCGGCGGTTTTGCCTAAACATAGTCCATAGTTTTGCCCAGTAGTATTTTAGTAAATATTTTTAACTTGACCCTAATTTCATAAATAATTTATTTTTTAGCATTATTCTGGAAACAACTCCTAACTTTAAGTTGAAAAACTTGTATTGCTTAATTTGTGTTAGAGAAAATGGGCAAATAAGGCCTTGAACTAGTAATTTTGTAATCAAGCCCTTGAACAAAAAGACCTTGCAAATATGCCCCTTGACTCATTGAAATCAAGCGATTGATTCCTTTTTTACCTACGGGTGCCGGTAACACGTCAACTTTCTTGTGAGAAATTACCGGCAACAGTAGGTAAAAACGGCTTGATTGCTTTATTTCAATGGGTCGATAAGTGTATTTGCAAGCTCTTCTGGTTCAGGGGTCTGATTATAGAATCACTAATAATTAGAGTTCGTACTTGCCCCTTTTTTATATATACAAAACCATATTTTTATTATACATTTAAAAAAACTACAAGTGATGAAATTTATATTACTTATAATAACATACAACTATAAAAAATAGTTCAAAGTTTCTTTGGTAACAAATAATTTTATTAAATAATAAATATTAGTACGGGTAAGACTGCGTACACCCGACCCCCCTTACCCCCACTGTAGGTGGGACCCTTTGCGGCACTGAGGTAATGATGATGATGAATAAATATTAGTGATTAAATTACTTTAGAAACTTCTATAAAAACATAAATATATGAACTAGTTGATTAACTGACAAGTTAGAGAATCATTTTATAGGAAAAAGGGTAAGATAAGCCCATGTACTATTGTAAGAACATCACTTAAACCCTTCTACTTAAAAATGTATCACCCAAATACATCTACTATAAAAATCCATCAATTGGGTCAAGTGACTTAATAACAACCTATAATAGCAGGTCATTCACATTTTATTTTCTTTTTCATTTTTTTTACTTACCTCTCTACTACATTGGCAGTTATCTTACTTCCCAGCCATCCATTTTAATTTTGTTTTCCTTTATTTCCTTATCTTCACTCTCTTTCATTTTTTGTATTTTCTTTATCTTTATTCTCTCTTTCATTTTGTCTTTTCTTTTAATTGTTTGTCTTCATCGTTGCGTATTCTTTTGCTTTTATTTTCCTTTTAGCTCTTTTTTCTTTTTTCCTTTTTTTTCTTCCTTCTTTCTTGGAAAAAATTAATTGAACCATTTTTCAGTCCCATATCAGATCATGTCAAACTTAAATAAATCACACAAAATCAGACCAGACTTTTTATTCATAATAAAATACATATAAATCATGTTTTTACTCAATCAGATAAGACAAGACTTAAACAGACAACATAAGAAACATTTAATCCAACTTAAAACATGTTTTGATTCTCTTTCCACTAAAACATGCGTCCCTCCAACAATCCAACTGTATACTTTTTGTACACATTTTCAACATTTTTTACACTAACAACCTTTTTTCTTTAAAGTTGGGTGATAGATAAAATTGTCAATCGGGAAAATGCAATTTTATAGACAATAGATGTCAGACACGGACAAATAAAAGTTTCATAAACTACTGACAAAAATGTGTAACTTTTATACACGTTTTTTAAATTCTCCGAACAAAGAAATATTTCTGTAAAGTTTGGCCACAGATAAAAAAATATTGATCGAAGAAATCCAATTTTACAAAAAGAAAGTGTCACGCACATACAAAATGTTTCATACTCCTTTGTACCAACAACTTTTGTTTGTTAAGTATGGGCACATAAAAAATACCAATCTGAAAAATCTACATTTACAAACAATAAATCAGTGGCACAAAAAGTGTACGAATCTTTACCGTGTCACCATCATCATCATTACCCCAGTGCCGCAAAGGCTCCCACCTACGGTGGGGTAAGGGGGGTCGGATGTACGCAATCTTACCCCTGTACTAAAGCACAGAGAGACTGTTTTCGAATGACCCATAGTGAAATCGCGTCGAAAATTGCATGGACTGACTGCTGCTTCATAATAAAGAAGCGGATAGTCGAGTAAGTCATTTTGCTTTATTCCATCATATTCTCAAACCAAAAATTTTACCGTGTGTGGAACATTTTCTGTCAATATGTTTTTGTTGAGATTATGAATAAAACTACTATCATATATAATTTTTTTACCTAGTATGTAACATTTTTGTCTGCGACACACTATTATTGTCTATAAAATTTGAATTTTACGACCGACGTTTTTTTAATATGGTCTAACCTTAGAGACAAAAAATATAAGTGCGAAAGATTTTGGAGATGTGTATAAAAAGTGTATAATTTTTAACCGTATCATAAGTTACAATTTTAAGTATGTCAAAGTTACAAATATGTATTAATGTCAATTCAGTTTTAATGATAAGGACAATTTTATATTTTCCAAGATTGAACATTACAATATGAATCTAAGATGATAGATAATTTATTGAAATAATTAGAAAGAAATGTATGAAAATATTTCTTGGGAGAAGACAATAGCTAAAACAGGTAATAAGAAAAAAGAGCAAGAAAAAACAAAAAAAAAAACAATCATTTGAACGATAGTTTGAAGAGAAAAAAAAAGAGTAAAATGCATAAATAGTCCTTGAACTATCATCGTCATATCATTTTGGTCCTTGAACTATTAAATCTATCATTTTAGTCCTTAATCTATTTAATCTATATTAATCGAATCCTTCTGTTAAAATTTTCCGTTAACATTAATGGTAGCTACTTTATTAACATCTCATAATTTTTAAACATTTTAGAACAATGCAATTATTCTTAAAATTTAAGTATATAAAAATTATAAATAAATAATTAAATAAATACTATAAAACCAAATGTATGGCTTAAATAATACTAGTATGTAGTATATAATAGAGAATCAAATAACTCAATTATATGCATATGAGCAAATTAAATTAAATAAGAAAACGAGGATGGTTGTTACTATTATTAATTATTAATTATATTAATAGAAAATTAATGACTAAAACTCATCCATTTTTCCAATGCATGCCCTCATTAGTTTTTCCCAAAATAATACTCCGTATTTAAATTCATAATATCTAATAAATAAATAAATATTTCTATGGACTAATTTGCCCTTACATTTCTTTTTACCACAAGATATTATAAAACCCTAGTTTTTTACTCATTTTCTAAAAACTATAGCCATTAGCCCGTCGCCGTGGCACTTGTCGTCCCCGTCGCCGTGGCACTTGTCGTCCCCGTCGCCGCGGCACCCGTTGCCCCAATCTCTGCGGCACACGCCTCCCCCGTCGCCGCGATAAAGAACCACGCAAATTATACCAAATTTGGTATGAAACAATTATAGTGGGACATACATTTTACTACTTAAAAAATGATATGGTGATGATAGTTCAAGGACCGTTCATGCATTTTACTCAAAAAAACATAAAGACAATATATAGGATTATGGGTGCAACAATGCAGCCAAGAAGGCCACAATTGAGCAACAAGAAAAAAAGAAGAAAGAAAATAAAAGGAAAAAACAAACAGGTAGCCGTGTAAATAAAGGGAAGAGAAAAACACTACTCTAGGGAATGGTAGGACCGCAGGAGTACATAAAGGAACAAAAAAATTACTGTATAATGTCAGCAACTTGCTATGGTCTGTAGCTTTCCAGTCATTTGCTCCATTTGATGTTTTTTACAAGTAAATGCTCTTATATGACGGGTTTTTTTAGTATATGGGCTAAAATGATTTTCTCATAACAGTAAAAGGGTGTATTTGATCCTTTTTCCGATTTTATATTAACTTTATAAATTTTGTTAGAGAATTTGAAGTTATAGATTATTATGTAAGATTAATACTTTTAAGATTTGATTAAAGTTCTTTCTAACTCTTGGGAAAAAATAGAATTAACTGATTAATAAAAATTACATAATTTAATTCAAGTATATAAAAAGTAGGCTAAAGGGTCAAATATGCCTCGAACTAACTTAAAAAGTGCAATTCACCCCTTATATAGGAGGCTCTGTCCGGCCGTCGCCAATTGGGGCAGTTCTCGGTAGAATTTTTTGATGAAATTTTTTGAGCATTTTCTTCATTAAGTCTGGTTTACCCATACCAAATTTCAGATAAAAATTCAACCGGGAAGACAGTCAAATGATTTTCTGAAATGTACTGCGCTGTTTAGCTAGGCAGTTATCTTCAAAAATTCATTTGACTGCCTTCCCGATTGAATTTTTAGCTGAAATTTGATACGATGTAAACTAGACTTAATGAAGAAGATGCTCAAAAAATTTCATCAAAAAATTCCACCTCAACCCGCTCCAATTGGCGACGGGCGGACAAAGCCTCCTATATAAGGGGTGAATTGCACTTTTTAAGTTAGTTCGAGGGCCTATTTGACCCTTTAGCCTAAAAAGTATTGAGATTTATTGATATGCACTGGTTTATAGTGCATAAATGTATGTTTTTATATCTATTCCGTGTGGATTGTTTACCGTTATTAGTTAGTTTGTAAGCATTTGTTTTGTATTGTTTGTAATTGTTTTTAGCTTCCATTTATAGTTGTAGAATAGTGGTAGAGTTTTTGGCAAGGAAAAGGAGAAAAAGTCAACATGAATGCTGCCCAAGGAGATCCACCCGACCGGGTAGAAATATTCACCCGGTCGGGTCTGATTTGAAATCCGAACCTCAGAGGAAAGAGCTAGACCCGGTCGGGTCAATTAATGCACCCGGTCGGGTGACATTTGACTCGGGACATTTTAACGTGCCGAAACGCAAGAACGTGGAAGATTATCTGATTTTGACATACACCCGGTCGGGTGGGCACTTTACCCTGTCAGGTACCCGGCCAAAGGTGTTGAAAACACCTATAAATAGCACACTTTTCCTTCACTAATTTCCATTCCTTCTTCCATACTCTTAAGCTCAGTTTAGAATAGTTATTTCTTATATTTTTCTAGCATGTTTAGTCTCCAAATGAGAAGTTAAACTCTCATTTCTTGGTTTTGCTCTTGAAGCTTGTTGATTATTAAAGTTGTGAGTTATTTTCTTAACTTCTTCTCTTGATTATTAATTCTTCCCTTAATCTCATTTTATATTAATGTTGGGGGGTTGCTAAGTGACGATAGTTAACGTTCCGACATTAATTATTACTAGAAACGATCAACGAACCGATGGTTAATCATTGATGGTTTCACAAGTAAGTAACTTCGGTTTATTAATGCACGGTCGTGGTTAATAAATTTAAGAGGGATTAATTTTGTTGGTTAAACCGAAACCGTTGCCTTAAGGTTATCAATCTCAATTGATTTCATCAAGGAGTTAAATAGATTAAATGCTACTATAAAATCAGTATACGACGTAGTTCTATATTTGATTAATAGTAAGGGTTGTTAATGAACATTCGTTGTTAATAACTACCCTCGATGAATTGGAAATATTCCTCGATTGAGTATTCGAGAGGGGATAAGTTGTAGATATAACAATGATCGATTAAAATATATCAACAAGTGGAAAGTAGCAAGGCCAAGTCCTTTTTATTCTTGATTTAAATCTCATATAAGTCGTTCATCTTCGTGTTTAATTAAATTAAATCACTCAATCCAAAAAAAACCCTTTATTTACTAGTTTCATTAAAAAGATAATTATTCTTTTCCCTATGGATACGAACTCTACTTCACCTATACTACGTATAAGTGCTAGTATCGAATATTATTTTGACGCACTATGACGAAGTGCTCGTCATTTATCATCATCATTTAATCATTTTCATTTACCCTAGTGCTGCAAAGGTTCCCACCTACGGTGGGGTAAGGGGGGGTCGGATGTACTGACTGTTGAAATGGCTTAGTGAAAATCGCGTCCAAAATTGCATGGACTGACTGTTGGCTTCATGACAAAGAAGCGCAGACAGTTTAATGAGCCATTTTACTTTATTCCATCATAATCTCAAGCCAAAAAATAATGAATCTTTGGCTCCATTGCAAATGATGGAACACAGTATTTAGATTGATATAAATTTGTAATAGAAAAATCACAGCGGGAAAGTGTATTTGTTATAAAAGATGAAGTTTGAGCCCTTTTTAATACTCCGTAAAAGTTATCGAATATGATAGATTTGTGAATTTCATGATAGTGAGGGATATAATAAGATAATAAACCTAAAAGGCGCAAAAAGATAAATACCAATATCAGCATTGTACCCGGACAGAGCGAGACTACTGGTGCATGCTAATCCAAACCCAGCAATCCACTCTTTTGTTGAATCCCCAAATCTTAAGGCTGTAGATTTAACCCCCACCCTAATATCATCCTCTTTGTCCTGGAACAAAATATACTCAAGTATTTTAGTGCCAAGACCCCCCCCCCCCTTAATTGTCATATTATTTTTGGGGATAAGGAGTCAATAAAAGCCAATGTCGTATATAAATTGATAATTTCCAGGACCTTAATCAACTTATGAGCACGGGAAATAAGCCAATAAAGGCAAATTTTTGTCATCATCACATGATCTTTGAAAGGAAGACTGAGAGCGAATGCACAGTCTCAGAGTGTGCAAGGATGTTTGAAAATTGTAGAAACATTGCTGTCAAATCGTTAATAGTATTGCGAATCGTTTGATCAACTCTTGAATTGTTGATCATAAGTTGGTTCGTATAATATGATTGAGAAGCACATTATAATAACAAGAAGCTTTGACAACAAAATCCATACCGAGAAGGAGAAAAATCAAATGTTGGGAAACGAGTTACTAAATTTAGATATATTATCACTGAAGATATAGAAAATTTCTAAACTAATTTCATCTATTAATTCAAAGCCTGAAATACCATCATAATAAACCTACCCCATACCCGATTGTTGCCCATCTCCGAACTGCTTCATTATTACAGATAATATTTCCTACACTAAGCAAGCCAAGAAATGTTACTACATACTTCATCCAAAATGGAGTATGTAAGTTAACATTTTTCCATTATGATATAAAAGTTTCAAACTCTAGATTTAATTTTGGATGATAATCCATACCTGATGAGCATATATAGTGTCATAGACAAGGGTCCAAAACACACCAGATAGATAAAGTGGGAGCACAACAGCAGGATCAAGACTATCTTTAATGGCAGCCCAACCTAATAATGCTCCCCAATTAAAGGTTAGTCCCAAGAAAGCTTGAGGCTGCCCATTAAGAGTTTAAAGATCAGCAAAGAATAAACATAACAGTTCATGACAACAGAGGGGCAAAGAAAGGATTGAGTATTCTTACCCAAAATGTCAACCTCTTCATGAGGGGATAAGAGAAAACCAATAACAATGAAGAAGCTCCTAAAACGCGGCTACATGAAGAGTTTTATTACAAAAATGAGCAATATGTTTACAAAGAAGGCAGCAGTGATCTAACAAAGATAAACAACTATAAGTTATAAGTCATACTTATAGCTAATGCCGACTTTAAACATTGATCAAATATGATAGTGTATTTGGCGACATCTGCAACTTACCAGATGTGCCACACCATGACCATGTGTTAGTGTCGTGTCTAAATTTTCTCCAAGTGATTAACATTGCCATTTAGGACATCCTGCCTTTCCTATTACTAAAAAAATTCTTACTTCTTTAGGTATTTCATTTAAAAATTTACCAAGGATGTTTTCTATGCATAACTCTTGTGCGAGTAATAAAAATCCTACAGTGCCATTTGCCAAATCTTCTCTTAGTAGTACCGGCCCCAAGGTAGTCAAAGTCGTGAGCCGAACTCAAGGCGCTAGAGTACTTATGAGTTATATCGCATGAGGCGCAAGGCGCAAAAAAGCACTCGCCTGACTCATGTCAAGCACAGTGGCACACTATTTAGAAAATACACCATTTAGAAAATATTACGTACATTAATCTGGAGTGATCAAATATGACATATTGAACTAATGTATTAAAAAAAAAATCAATAACAAAGTCACGGTTCACCAAAATAAAATCATGGTTCACAAAAACAACACCAAGCAGGGTCTGTTTTGCTGATTTTGCAATTTGAAGACTATGGGCGACATAATTATGTAGTGTATCAACTAATAAATGAGTTAGATTATATGAAATCTTTATACAATGAAAATATGAAATGATTATAAAATGTTATCAAGTTATAGACAGGTAGTCAGGAACATATAATATGTTTGAGTTGTATAGAATATATAAGAAGAAAAGATAACTATAAAGTATGCATTGATGACTGAAAGTGATAAAAGTAAAGAAAGAAGATAGACGGAAAGAATAAAATGAAAGGATCAATAAGAAGATGACAAATAAATAAAAACTACAAGCTGAAAAACAAAGAAGAAAGAACATGGGAAGATGATGATGATGATGAAGACCCCTTATGGGTTTCTGGCTTTTGTCGATTGATCGTTGAATGTGGTTTTAGCGCTGAGCAAGTTGCGCGAGTAGAGCACAGAGCATAGGAGAGTAACAACAAAGTCACGATAGAAGACTTATACTGCCACTAACAAGGGTCTTACATGGGTTTAAGTTGTTTTGGCCTATTATATGGATGCGCTAAATCTTATTTTAAGTATGGGCTTATTATTTAGAGTAGGATCAAACAGAAAAATAAGTTGATAAGCCTTTCCTAGACCAGGCGACTTAAGTGTGCGCTTTTCTGTGCTTTTGCGCTTGTTGCGCATCACTTGCGCCTGGGACTGTAAGAGGCACCGACCCTCATATGCGCCTCGCCTGGTGCGCTTAACGCCCAGGCACTCACTTTTGACTACACTGACGGGTCCACTTGATTTAATTTATACTTATGTCTCGGGACCTACTCATGTCAAATCAATTGAAGGTTATCATTATGATGTTATTTTTGTTGAGCGCAACACCAAATACAATTGGTTTTATACTTTCATCCATAAATCTGAGGTCACTAATATTATTTAGCAATTTAAAAAGGTGGTCGAAATTTTTTCCAGTGCAACATCAAAATGCTTTACTCATGATGTGGGAGAATATATTACCTTCGGTAAATTCCTCACTTTTCATGGTATCTCTCATCTTTTTACTCCTTACAGACTAGAATACAATGGATTCGCCAAAAGATGACAACGTAACATAGTTGAGACAAGTATCACTTTACTTCACCAATGACTCTATGCCTCATAAACATTTTTTATATGCATTTCTAACCACACATATCTCATTAACTGGCAACCTGAGGCGTCTCAAATTTTGTTCTCCTTTTGAAAAACTTTTCCTATGACAATACACTACTGATGCATTCTACGGAAAGACCTATCAGCGCCGCAGTATTAGTGGCAGATACTTAGCTGATTAAGAAGTTCATTATGGAAGGATATTAAATTCCTTTACAGCAGATTTTTGATTTATTGTTTGATTGCTTTCCTTCATTAGATTAGTTAATTACTTTCCTTAGTTAGGTTGATCAGCAGCTTTATTGCTTTCCATCATTAGATAAGTCTATTTTAAGAATTGATTTAATGTAATCCTCTCCTTCCTTACTGGTTCTTGTAACCCTTACTATAAGTAGGGACTCCTGCTTTGAATAATAAACAGGCCAGAGTTATGTACTTATCAAGGAGAAAGGAACATCATAAAATTCCTGAACTTCTATCCCCTTCCCTGCCTTCTTATTTTCTGTTATTACCTGCAAAAATAGAGGGATCTCATCTCCCTGCCCTCACCAATCGCCGGTTGACGCGAGCTCTAGCCCGGGAACATAACATTTTGGTTCCGTTGCCGGGCGTCGACATGGCTGAATTAAAGAAACTCCAGGAGGATCTCACCGCCACAATGCAAAAGGTTGACGCCCTTACTGTCACTTTGAATTCCCTGACCGATGATGTGAAGAACTTTGGTAGCCTTGCCAAAGTAATGGAAACTTTCATGGAGAAAAATGATAGGAATGGGCCTAGTATTGTAGATAATAATAAGTGGGCCTATTATTGTAGATAATAATAAATGGGCTTGTACTATAAATAGAAAGGGAAGGGGAAGCATATAAGGTAGGCAAGTATTCAGTTGGACTTGGCTAGGCTTGGAGACTGGGCATCTCGAATTGTCCGTGTACCTATTCCGATATGTTCTTACTCTAACAAACCTTAACCTGTTCTAGATCAATTCTCTTTGATTCTCTACTATTGTGAAGTGAATTACATCAGGTTCCTATCAATGGTATCAGAGCACTAGTTCCTGGTGATCGGAATTGTTGTTGCAAACATCTGAAAATTCTAGTTTCAGTAGCGGAAGGTCTGGACGAGAGCCAAAAAATGGAGAATAGAATGGCGAAGACCATGGCAGCGATGCAGGCGAGCTTTGAAAATCTGGAGAGAGAAATCCGGAGTAGTTCGCGCAGCAAATCGCATGCCTCTTACGCATCGCAAATCGCTCACCAGTTCGCAGAAGGAATCGCGAACTACTTATCCTAGTTCGCAATCGCGAACGATTATTCTTAGTCCACAATCACGAACAGCTTCGTTCAGTTCGCAGGGTTCATCGCTAGGCGCACAAGTTTCCGCTAGTCCAGGAGGTTCAAAATGTAATTCTGATCACTTACCTTCGCATCAGGAAAATCACCACAGGGACCACAGAAGTTATAATGGAACAAGGACGAAGATCGAATTACCTTTTTTCAATGGTGATGAAGTGTGTGTATGGATCGATAGGATGGAAGGATAGTTCAGACTCAAAGCTATTGCAGAGGAAAGGAAAGTTGAAATAGCAGAAAGTGCTATAGAAGAAAGGGCGTTAGCTTGGTTTCCATGGTGGTATACACAAACGAGAGAAAAGAGTTGGAAGGCTCTGAAGGAAACCATAAAGCTGTGTTTCCAACCTACACGCAGTTGGAAGACAGAGAACGAGAATCAGGAATCCTCGACAAGAACTTCTCTCAGTTCGCAGAAGTCTTCGCCAACAACGTCCTTCAGTTCTAGATTATTGATAACTGCGCAGGTTTCTCCAAGATCGCAGACTTCATCTTACACTGGCAGTTAACTTGAAGGTACAACGCGATCAGAAGGGGGAGTTTCCAGTTCGTCATTGCTGTCCGATTCGCAGGAGTCTGGCAATCCACGGAAACCTCTCTTTGGAGATAATTTCATGGATGGTGACGAAGGGCATAAGGAGAAATTATCAGTGGTGTTTCAATCCACGTCTGCCATGGGATTTGAGTCTGCTGATGACAAAATTGTTGGTTCAAATACGTATGAAGTGGAGAGCAAGGTGGTTCCTGAAATATCTATAGACTCTGTTCAGCTGGAAGTCCTTAATGTCACTGGACAAATAGATACATCTAAAGCTACCTCGTTTACTGTTACTACTAAGGGAATTGATAGCCAAGAAAGAGATGCAACATTCATCAGTGTCCTGGAAAATGGAATACAAGTAGATATCAAACATGATGCTGCCACAATGCATCAACCAGTAGATTATTTTCCAAGAATTCATGAAGAGAGACAACTAGGGAGCTTTGTGAGAACCAACTCCATAGAATTTGGTGCCTGGAATGCCTGTAAAGAGAAAATAGCATGTAAAGAGAAAATAGCAGAGGGGAACATTATGAAGAATTATGCAGATTACGGGGCACGGATTGGTGTGATGGATAAAATTGTTGAGGTTCAACCAAAGTTTCACGATGATGCAAGTAAAGAAGAGCAACTGGATCCATTTGAAGAATGTATTCAGTTGTATGATACTGGCGGGAAGATAGGTGCATGTTCATGGGAATGGTTTCAGGTAAAGACTGGGGGTACTAAAGATAAAACCAGTTTTAATGACTGTATGGATTTGACTATTGAGGATGTTGGAAATGTAGAAGTGGAACTTTGGCCAATTTGAAGAATTGTTAAGGCTCCTATCTACTCACTGGGGCTAATAAAGCTGGGGGCAGATCAGGACAGGGAAGCAAAGAGATTTTATCTTGCAGAACCTTTATAAGTTTATATGATGATTACAATGAAGAGGCTTCAAGGTCTGGTTATCATGTAAAACATGTAGGACCTCATTCAATTTCATGTCAGAAGCTTGATCAAAGTGAAAATGGGGATAGGAACAAGGCAGAAATGGGTGAAAGAAGTATTATCTTTGACAACATAATTCCAGGGAGTTTTCATCTCCAGTTTCTGCTCCTGTTTGCTGTGAAAGAAGTGAAGATAACAGGTCAAATAATGAAGGACATGGCCAAGCATTCTGGGAGGTATTGGGAAGGAAGAGGTGCAAGAATGAAGTGCAAGTGGAAGATCATGGCTGACTCCTATCACCCACCCACCTTGAGGACAAGGTGGTTGTTTAGGGGGGTATGATAGGAATGGGCCTAGTATTGTAGATAATAATAAGT